ACACACACACACACACACAGGCTGCCTGAGGCCCGTCGTCGGAAACGAAATAAGTCTCAAAATTCGTATTGAAATTTAATTCTTAGACTCATAGACCGTTGACAGAAACATGGAAAAGTTACGAGTTTCTCTTGCGCAGTGTATATAGAGGCGGTCCGGTCTACGATAAAAAGGATACTGATAAAACTAATGTTAAGACTAATTCTGTTTCTGACAACGGGTCTCTGAGGACCGGACCTAGTAGATGTGCCTTTGTCTATTGCACTCTGAGAAATGCGCAACTAGAGTGAATGTATATCGTAGCAAACTGCTTCATATTATCTAGTAGATAGGAATGAATGTGAAAATTCCCATGTGATTGCCTAGCTGCATTGCCTCGGCTCTGTTTTATTGAGAAAAAAAGCTGTTCTATAACGATCCTATTCTATACCGATATAACAGAGATAATCACTAACGTTCCCAGCGACATATTGTTGCCAAATCGGTTAAGCTAGAGTCTCTTTTACGTGTTTGCAACATTTTCGACATTACGTGGCAGTTCGTTACTAAGAAGCGTTATCAGAATGTGTCCTTATCGCAACGCTGATTGGTTGACTGGATTAATTTCTTACAGGTCAACTAAGGCGTAAACGCGATAAGCTTCTAATTACAAGATATCAACCGCTCACAACCGCGTCTCTCTTTCTCTCTGTTACAGATAGAGGGCGCTTCTCCTCCTTACGTCACTGCTGCGTCACCGACGACGTCACACTCACGCGTGCACCATGAACAACACGACGCTACCTGGCGGCATCCGCCTATGCCCGGAGAACGACACGAACGCCACCAACTGCACGAGGGCGGAGGATTTCATGGAGTACGAGGACACGATCGAGTTCGAAAAAATCGTCGGCATCGTCGTTCCGATCGTCTTCAGCCTCATCATGGTGATCGGCCTCGTCGGCAACGCCCTCGTCATCATCGTCGTCTCCTGTAACCCGCTCATGCGCAACACGACCAACGTGCTCATCATCTCGCTCGCCATCTCCGACCTCAGCTTCATCATCATCTGCGTGCCGTTCACGGCCACCGACTACGCGCTGCCGATCTGGCCGTTCGGCAACGTCTGGTGCAAGATCGTGCAGTACATGATCAACGTGTGCGCCTACGCGAGCGTCTACACGCTCGTGCTCATGTCGCTCGACCGCTACCTCGCCGTCGTGCATCCGATAGCATCGATGGGCGTACGAACGACGCGCAACTCGTGGGTGGCGATCGGCATTCTCTGGGCGATCATTCTCCTCTGCAACATCCCCGCCTTGTTCATCTACGAAGCCATCGACTACCTGTTCATCAACGAGGACCGTAGCGCGTGCATGATGACGTTCGGTGCGCCGAGTCCGCACATGATCAACATGAACCACGTCCGCATCTTCCACATTTGCTTCTTCGTTCTGTCCTACTTCATCCCGCTGACGGCAACCTGCGGACTGTACGTGTTCATGTTGAAGAGGCTCTGGTACGGCTCGACGCCCGGCGGCAATATCTCATCGGAGAGCCTCCGCTCGAAGAAGCGCGTCACGCGCATGGTCGTCGTCGTCGTCGTCATCTTCGCGCTCTGCTGGCTGCCGATACAGATCATCTTCGTCGTCACGAAGACGTCGGGCACGATGTCGCAATCCTCGAAGGCGCTGCTCGCCTTCCAGATCGTCGGTCAGTGTCTCGCCTACACCAACAGCTGCGTCAATCCGATCCTCTACGCGTTCTTGTCCGACAATTTCCGAAAAGGCTTCAAGAAAGTTCTCTGCTGCGGATCGAGCGTCGCGCGGCAGCGCCGCTCCTACACGGCCGACTTTGAGCGGACGGACTGCGTTTCCGGTAGGAGCGCAACGACGACGACGCGAAACGGAACCAAAGTTAACGAGAAACTCATCGGCGAGCATGCCGTGTGACGTCACTCTCTCCTTGGGCACACTCGCGTGACGTCACGCTTCGCACGCGGTGCGACGCCGCCGTCTTACGTATGTAGAAGCAGCGCGGGGATGGCAGTGCGTCGTCTGCGAACGTGCGCGCGTGCGTGCGTGCGTGCGTGCGCGTGCGGGCGTGCGTGCGTGCGGACGGACGGAGGGGGGGTTTTTTCGGCGAGAACGATTTTTTTCTTGCGGCGGACGATAGATGGCGCTGCGTCGGTCTTTCCGTCGTTTCCCGCGGAGGGGGGGGGACAGCAGACGATAGACCGCCGTCGTAGTCTGCGCATGACGTCGTACACACTCTCGTCGTACGTGACGTCACGGCAGACGACGCGGTCGGTACAGCTGCTGACGCATGCGCAGCTTCTATATTCTCAAAGTTGTCCTAACGCGAGGTCACGTGACGATCGGTGGACGGTCACGTGCTCGAAGGCACAGACGATCACGTGCTCGGCCGTGAAGAGTCACGTGCGTCTGTCGTCCCCAGTGCGTCGGCAGGCGCGGGGCCGTGGCGACGGCGCGTCGGCTAGGCTGCACGCTAACCACGTGCGATGTGCGTCAAATGCACGCCGCACTTCTTCAATCGTAAAATTCTTTATTCGTGCGTTTCTATCTCGTCGGCAGACGCGGGGCCGTTGGGCACGCTTGACACGCGTCAGACGCACGCATTTCTAACGCGAAATCCCCCGATGACGCAAAACTCTAGCAAACGTCTGATCTAGAATGCCGGCGCAAAGCCTGATAGAGAAGAGGCTTTAGCGGAGAAGGAGGAGGAGGAGGAGGAGGAGGAGGAGGGGGAATGGAGGAATGTGAGTGACGGTACAGACCTCTCCCTACACACATGTCATGTGGTGACGGCCCAGCCTTGACGGCAAAGCCTGATGGAGAAGAGGCTTTAGAAGGGGAGGAGGAGGGAGGAGGGAAAGGAAGAAGAGAACGGAAGGAAGGAGGAATGCGTAATGGTATCTATCATTTACTCGTTTGCGCGGATGCTGGAGAGACAGTAATTAGATATACTTGAGAAATGTGTTTTAATGCCGCGGTTGCCTTTGCGTTCATCGCTGACTTTATAGTTCAATGGTTTCGAATGATAAGCTCGTCGAACCCACGCGGTTGGGTAGGTGGCAGTGGATATGCGTCCCTGTAGAGACGGTCCAGGACTCCGCTACACACACGGGGGTAGGTGGCAGTGGATCTGCGTCCCCTAGAGACGGTCCAGGCCTCCGCTACACACACGGGGGTAGTGGCAGTGTACCTGCGCCCCGTAGAGACGGTTCAGGCCTCTCTCTTCACACATATCCTTTGGTGACGGCCCACCCCCTCCCCTTCCACATGGTGGTGGGTGGCAGTGGATCTGTGTCTCTAGAAACGGTTCAGCCCCCTTTCTTCACACATGTCGTGTATATAGGGTACGGTTAAGGAGGTAAGCACGCCCGATGATACCTGGAGAAACAAAATTACTCTTAACATTAGTCTTAACACTAACATTTTCTTATAGACCGTCTACAGCACTTTGTTTCGTATTGTTATGAGGAAATATGCTACGATTTTTTATTCTCGTAACTTCGCAGCGTTTCTGTCAACGGTCTAAGAGAAAAAGTTAATGTTAAGACTAATGTTAATGCTAATTTCTGCGAGGCCGGAGCGGCAGAATCCCAGACTATATTGATGCGATCTGTACGAGATCGCGACAGGTTTAATTAGCTCGTGGTCGGAGGATGTGAAGAGAGAGGAAAAGAATGAAAGAGAGAGTGATGGGGAAATGGGAAAAAAATGAAAGGGAGATTAAAGGGAGAGAGAGTGAGAGAGAGAGAGAGAGAGAGAGAGTGAGAGAGAGAGAGAGAGTCGAGAAGACGAGGGGCGACGAAAGTGTGTGTGTGTGTGCGTGTGCGTGTGCGTGGTGCGTGTGCGTGTGCGTGTGCGTGTGCACGCTATGTGCGTGCCGTGCGTGCGCGGTATACTCTCTGCGTGCGTGGCGCGCGTGCGTGTGCATTCGTACGTGCAGACCGTGCGTGGCGCGTGGGGTGGCGTGCTGCCGTGCATCCGTCGTGCGCGTGAGGTGGTGCGTGCGTGTTGCACGTGCGTAGTGCGTGCGCGTGGGTATGCGTGCAGTCCGTGCGTCGCGGTGCGCGGTGGGCGTGTGTGCTCAGTGCAGCTGTTAGAAGCCCGCTACCGGCACCGGTTAATAACTGGCTGATAGCAGGACAGCTGCTATTATCTCCGGTCTCCACTGACGCACAGATTTCATTATGGGAAATGATCGCCACCTCGAGTGAGTCTGCTACTCAGCCTAGCTAAGTTAGGGCCGTGACGGTCACATCGGACGTCACAAAATACGTTTTTACGCGCTGAGAAGCTAGCAGCAGGCGGTTTTTTTATTTCTTTTGGAGCTATGTTTTAACGTGTATTCGCGGTTCAGGGGGAATGATTTTCTGCGGTGATCGCTAGCGTCTGCAGAAGTATTGGCCGCTGACATGGTACACGAAGGTGATGGCGTAATCTCTAGGCTGCTGCTGCTATTGCCCGACATGCGACGAACAAGTGTCTGCATTGCGGAGTAAAGTGAAAGACCGTCGGCATGGTCAAACGAAGACAAACAACCATGCAAGCGTGGCCCAATGCAAAGACCATCCTAAATCTATCAGATTCTCATCTAGAGAAGGGCAGACGACCTAGCATGGCAAACGGATGACAGCGGTTTTGCATGGCCAGACTAAGCGTTAAACTCAACCGACGTAGACAACTACAGACGAACCAAACAGCGGTATCAATTCGAACAAAAAACACCAGTCGTGGCAGGCTTCACCGGACCCATCTAAAGAACAAACATGGGAGCATGTAGGGACAGTAGACGACCCGGGAACGGCCATCCTAGCCCACGCACATATTAAACCAAACATGGCAGCAATAGCGCAGCTAATGGCCGCCTAGTCAATAGCCTATAGCCAAGCAATAGCTGATCGTCAATAGCCCTATAGCCAAGCCAATAGCCTATAGCCAGACAGATATGCTGATAGTTCAATAGCCTATACCTAAGCCAATAGCAAGTTAGTCCAATAGCCTATAGCCCAAGCATGAGCTGAATGAGTCATAGCCTATACCAAGCCAATAGTTAATAGTCAATAGCCTATAGCCAAGCCAATAGCCTATAGCCAAGCCAATAGCTCATAGTCAATAGCCTATAGCCAAGCCAAGTCAATAGTCTAGGAACGCCAGCCTAGCCAACTACATATAGACCAAACATGGCGGCATGAGTACGTATATAACGACAGGGCGCGATCCAGCAACAGTATAACCCAACTATAACTAATAACCGGGTACATCGACCCCCGTAGTTAACAAAGCCATTGACATTCGGCCGCGCGTGAAATATTTGGATCTACGAAAGAAACGAGCAGCATCGGCTGTGCTGCCGCAGCTGCAATGCCTCCGTACACTGGGTAGCATGATTGATTCTCCTCTGTCGTCCGATTGGTGGCCGGAGATCCAACCGAAGAAAGACGCCTGATCGATGAAGCTCACACACCCGCGCGCGTCCGCCGCTGGAGAGGAATGTAGGAGAGGAGGAGGAGGAGGGGAAGGAGGAGGGAAGGGGAGGAGAGTTAATGAGGAGAGGGAAAGGGAGCGGTGGAGGGATGCAGGAGGCAGGAGAGAGGAATGCGGAGGAGGAGCTGCATGTGTCTACGATGAATTTTACATTGCATTGTAAGGGCCTGAAGGCCGATATGGTGTGTATTCTGTTTCATAATTCGATTCAAATTCATTCCTGATGGCGTTGAATCGAATGATCGTATGGCATCATTCGTGACGTGAATCGAATCATTTCGGATGCGTGAATCGAATGTTCGATTGCATCATTCGATTCACGCATCGAATCAACTCGATTCACAT